ACATTAACTGAATTTACAGAGCACAAATCAAGTTCCAAATTGCTACTGCTGACTATTGCTCAAAATGTAGCATCGAAATGCAATGATAATCTTTAATCACTTAAGAAATGAATATCTATACTGCAGAACAAGTATCTGGTACTGATTTAAGTAACTGCTTGTACTCGTCTGAATGAGTTTGATGGTCTCTGGCAAAGTTACGTTCTCTAATAAGATGGCGTGTAACTGATTGCTCAATGGAGTGAACGTTGTGGTAGTCAAAGACAAGTCATGCTGTTTGGGCAATCTGTTGAACTTTTGTGCAATAACAGGAATGAGTGAATGTGTTTATAGGGATTAAGTACAACTGCTGTTTGACAAATATGCATGCGAATTGTGATTCAGACTCGCTTTGAAATACTCCACAATTTTTTGTGTTATCACATACCTCTACGTTTGCTTCGATTTCGCACCAAAGTTAACTTGATTGTTCAATTCATTTAGAATGATAGGATTCAGCAGGTATGTTTACAGTCAAAAAATGTTCCATTTCATCGTTTTTAATAATATTTCTTCGACTGGTCGATACTGTCCACAAGTATCGATGACTGAAATTGCGGGATGATTTACCAATGGAACTCAGGCTCAGTCTCAGAATCAGCAAAATTTGCTGGGAATTTTGTACGGGAAAGTGAGATTAAAAGTGAGAATACGGGTTGAAGTGCTGGCAAATTCTCGGACATTTTAGAAGACACCCATTGGTTTTTTAAGAAATGAATTTGTTTGCCCATTAGATATGCTTCGAAGATCAAATTCAAGGATCTTCACAACCCTCAGCCTAGTGCTGCTATCGATCGCACTGAAAGCTGAGGCCTTTATGGGTGGCTTCGGAGGGCCTTTTGGAGGTGGCTATGGTGGCCAATATGGGGGTTACGGTGGAGGTTATGGAGGTTACGGTAGTGGAGGTTATGGAGGTTACGGTGGTGGAGGTTATGGAGGTTACGGTGGAGGAGGCTACGGAAGTCCGTTTGGAGGCGGTTTTGTGAGTTTCTTCCATATTCCCTCACGTTTATCTTTCTATTCCCTGAAGATCATGAGTTTTTTTTTCAAAATTTCTTCTCGCACATTGTCAGTTGATTTCCCAGAGTACTACAAACATGCTGTCGTTTTTATGATAGCAAAAGAACTGAGAGGTGAACCGTCTAGAAACAAAGCAATCACTAAATACAACTGCTTTATTCACTTATCAATAACTTCTCACATACAAAATCCAATCAGTTCAACTTGAAACAAGTAGTATATATTATTATTTTCGGAATTTCAGGTATTCTGTCTTAGCCGTACATTTTTAATGTGATGCATGGCTTGTTTTTGCCAAGTCCATTTGAATTATTTCAGCGATTACTTGGACAAATTTTATACATAAATCATTCATTTTCAGGGTGGTGGCTATCCTGGTTTCCATCATCCATACAACTATCAAGACTTCGAACACGAGCAGTTTCATTTCAGTATGAAGCGATAAAGTTCAGTGCTATCATGCCTCTTGTTTTTGAATTGTTCTCGAATTAATGTGTTTATTATTATTTGTACGTTTCAGAATGGCGTGAAATACTTTGTGAAATGATCGCGTTGAAAGTTCGGTATATTATAAAACATTTTAAAAAGCTTGTCAAAATCGTTAATTGAGATCTTACATGTGTTCAACCAAATGTAACAAATTCGAAACAAAAGGGTCTATGATGATTACTTTAATAAGGCAGATTAATCATTAGTAACTATATTATGGCTCTAATTTTCGTGAGTACAAGATCATGAGGATTATGTTTAACCGGAATTTTCCGTTAAATTAAAAAGGAAACAATCATTTCCGTTGGTACATTTATAAAAAAATTCAGTTTTGAGCAAAAAAAATATCACAAATACGTGACCCGATTCTGTAGAAAGCTCACAGCAAATATTCGAATGGTCTGAAAAGTACAAAAATTCTCGATAAAATAAGAAGTTTAGTGTGAATTATAAGACTTTTCAATTTATGATGATGCAAAACATCACATATTATGAATGCAATGTCTGGAACACAATTTTTTGTGGATGTTCATTCAATTGCGAATGTATGTGAGAAGGAAATCGTACAGCAACGCAATTTCGCGAGTTTGCTTTCCATGGGTTTAGGCTATTGGTATTTTCCATATCACTGATTCATGTCATTCATGTAATCACCGATTGGAATTATTGATAAATTGCTTTTTACCCTCATTTTGCACAATACATTACTATGAACAAGTCAGTGAATGTTGATCTTGAACTTGCATGGTCTGAAAAGCAGAAAAATGCTCGACCAAGCGCTGGATACTTTGTAAAATTCACCACATCCTGAGAATATTTTTTGCGAATCTGTTGGAGACGAAAGTCACAAATCGAAATCTTACCAGACTTCCCTTGTGAGCGAAGTTTCTGATTCATACATAAATTGTTCACATCGAAAAAAAAAACACCATCATTGATTGTGCTGACATTCGATTATTCATTACAAGGTTTTTTAGGTTGTTCGCAAAACTCCGGCGAATGCTTTCTTGTTTTTAATTGAATTGCACATCGAAACATTCGTTGAAAGTAATGCGTTTCTTTCGTTCGGTTACGAATTGACGTAACTTTTGAATGCTCGCATCTTGTGTGACCGCACACATGAGCGGGTGTTTGATGTTCAGTTTTGCTCTTTAAGAAGGTCTTTTTCGACTGAGCTTGTCATAATTTTCGTAATTTTATGGTATCATTGAATGACTTGTAACATCAGCACAAAACAGCGGTGAACTTTCACATCTTGAAGCGCACAGCAGCGTATCTCCTTAGAACCGGTTGCAATTCGTTGAATAACGCCTTCAATTAGTTTTGACGTTCGCTTAACTAACCCAACAACAAATCTATAAAAGTGTCATCGTTGTTGTTTTCTAAAGTAACAATTCGAAACATCCAGTTTGAAGAATTCGATCAGCACTAGCATAATGCAGTCGACCTCTGTGTAAGTGAACTTATCAATTGTTTGATAGATTTATATCTTTATGTTATTCGAGTTGCACGAGCGATACGAAACTTCCNGAACTTATCAATTGTTTGATAGATTTATATCTTTATGTTATTCGAGTTGCACGAGCGATACGAAACTTCCGTCAATTTATCTGCCGTTTTTTAATGGCGATTGCCAATTAATTTTTTGACTATGCCTCCCAAGTAGTTTTTGAATGCGCTTTTTAAATTTCCAAACTTAAACTAATGAACGCACTGTAACATCGCTTGACAGCTTGTCCTGTTTTCATTCAAACCTCATCTGAGGAGGTACGTAAACAAACTGGAAGAAAATTGAGAAAAATTTTCAGGATTGTGCTCTCTTTGTGTTTGCTGCTGATAGCATCAAGTACCGTTGATGCGCGATGGATGTTCGGAGGATATCAGCCTTACGTAAGCTTGTCAATATTCTATCACATGTTTCACTGTCGTGTGTAGACCGCTCCAGATATCGTCTACTCTAAAAAAAAATGTTCGAGAGAAACCGTTGTTGATTTATGAGTCCGGCTGATTTTTCAGTTTTGCTGTTTTGGATTTCACAAATTCAAATCCTACTAATACATCTCGTCAAATGTAATTGACGGGTTATGCTACGCTCAATGATTGATTACGTAAACCGTGCTGATCATTTACCTCTCTGAAGATTAGAATGAGGAAGAAAAATGGAAAAATATGCTGTTCGAATAGCTTGATGTGTTGAATTCAGTGGGAAACTTGTTTACTGACTAACAACTTTTCTTACATAACTTTTCTTACATCATCAAATTTGACTTGCCCTCATCAAATCAAGAACGAATGAAGGCAATTCATTTACAGGGTGGTTACGGTGGTTACGGCTATATGAACTACTTGGACAATTACTACAATTATTTCCTACCGTCGTATTATAGTCAATTTGGTTATGGTAAGAAACGAGCTTGAACAATAAAACAGCGT